GCTGATGGAGATGCTCTGTGGCTTTTACTCTATGGGCCTCATCTGTCAGTCTGTCCAGTCATTTAGGCTTCGTTTGCCTTCGTATCCTGGAGAGTTCCAAGGCCCCACCTCCCCAACTTGAAGTCAGTCCCTGACACCTACTCCTGGCTGTATGCCATGGCATAACGAGCAGTTCTCAGGGGCTTCTGAGCAAATCCTCCTCCCTCCAATTATCTTCTATTCTTGGCATCTCCCTCCTCCCTTTACCCAATTCCCCTGTCTCCTTAAATTGCCCTTTTCTTAAACAGGAGAATAATAATAATAATAACAATAGCTCACACATACATAGGACTTTACAAAGCATTTTCCTCACAACAACCTGCTCGGTAAGTAATGCAAATATTATTGTTTGTATATTTCAGATGGGGAAACTGAGACTCAGAAAACTTAAAGGACTTGTCCGAGGTCATAGAACTACTAAGTGTTGGATTTGGGAATCTAACCAAGGTCTCTGACAACTAGTCTAGGAGAGGCAACATGGGGTGTTAGGGCACTGGATTTGGAATTGAGAAGACATGGGTTCAAATCTCACCTCAGATACTTATTAGGTGTGAGACACTAGACAAGTTATTTAACAGCTCTGTGCCTCAGTTTCCTCATCTGTAAAATGACGTTGTAAAATATCACATAAGGTTCTCAATTTTTCAAACTGAGCTAATGAACTTCTGGCAAGATTTTGTCTTGGGCCAAGACTTGAATAAGCTCCATTTTGACACAATAAAGCACTCATGATCTTTTAGCATCAAGCAGTTGTGTTACTTAAACATCAGCTCAAAAATACATCATGGGCATGGGCTCCTCACGGTCTCCCATTGCCTGTAAAGGTGCTCTCAGTAACCATATGTGGAGGCAGTCAAATGGAGCCATAGATTCATTCCGTCAGTCTAAAGCAGGAGTGCGGAACCTGCAGCCTTGAGGCCCTCTAGGTTCTCAACTGCGGCCCTTTGACTGAATCAAAACTTCACAGGACAAATCCTTTTATTAAGGATTGAACTCTAAGAATTTCATGAGAGACAGCAACTCTTTGTCTCTACATGCCCCACAGAGAGGCCCTCCCCCACGGGTGACCAACCACCTGGCCAAGGGCTCATGCTTATGCCCCGGCTCATACACCTGGTGGGTGTAGGGGCCCAGAGCGGTCCTTATCAGTCAATGCCAGCTGCTGTGCTCAAGTCAACTGTCAGCCTGGTGCAGCCTGGACCCAGAGTCAGCCCTGAACCGGGCACTTCTCAGGGCTCTCTGCAGAGTGAGCTCCAGCTGCTTCTACTACCACCTGCAGCCAGAAATGCGCACAAACCCATTCCTAAGCTCTGACCCACCCAGAATATCTGGGGAGCTAGCACCCTCAGCAGAGTTGAGGCCCAGCCAAAGCCAAGCCCTCTTAGAATTCAGGTTGGGAAACATGAAGAGATGAGAGTGAATCATAACAAGAATGCTCCCTTCTACAACTTGTGGGCAGGACCAACAGCTACAGTTTCAGGGATGGCTGGGTGGTACAGTGGATAGAGCACCGGCCCTGGATTCAGGAGGACCTGAGTTCAAATCTGACCTCAGATCAAACACTTGGCACTTACTAGCTGTGTGACCCTGGGCAAGTCACTTAACTCCAATTGCCAAAAAAGAAAGAAAAGAAAAGGGACAAGGAGAAAAAAGGACAAGAAAAGAGAAAAGGTGCAGTGAGAACAGCTACAGTTTCTCATAGGTACTGGCTGGGAGCCTAGCAACTAGCAGCCCACATGGAGAACCAAAGAACTTGGCCGGGTGAGGGTCCAGTGGATGTTACATACCGCAGCGTAAACTGATAATCTGAATCCTGTGGCTTGCGGTCTAGGGGAAAGAGCACCAGATTTGGAGTCAGAGACCACAGGTTTGAATTGTGGCTGTGCTCCCCTGTTAACTATGGGGACTTGAGCAAGCCACTCTACTCTCTGTGCCTCAGTTCCTCTCCCTGTAAAATGAGAGGATTGAACTAAATGATCCCAGCACCAAATTTTAAAATCCCAACTCCATGTAGAAACAGGATCTAGAGAGTGTAGGGAAGAGCGATCTAAAGGAGACCTGGGTGGGTTTACCCATGATTCCAAAGGACTGATGATAAAGCAGGCTACCCACCTCTTTTTTTTTTTTTTTTTTTTGGTGAGGCAATTGGAGTTAAGTGACTTATCCAGGGTCACACAGCTTGTAAGTGTCTGAGGCCAGATTTGCACTCAGATCTTCCCTGACTCCAGGCCCGGCGCTCTATCTACTGTGCCATCTAGCTGCCCTTGTTACGAAAGTTTATTAATTTTTTCAAGGCAGGGAGGGGACGTGGAAGGGAGAGAAAATACATGCTTGTTAATTAGAAAAAAAATTGAATTTTAAAAAAGATCTGAGTATAAGTTCTGGCTCTGATCCTATCGACAGGTTGACTGATTAATTGGATCACCTTAGGCAAGTCCTTTCACTTTCATGAGCCCCAGTTTCTTCATCTCTAAAATGGGTAAGGGGGAGAGGAGGTGGATTAAGTGATGTCCAGGCTACCTTCTAGTTCTAACCCTGTCACTTCTACTTTCCTAGTTTCAGTTCCTTTCTCTGAAAAATGGGGATGGTGCTTTTATCATCAACCCCATAGGATTATGGTGAGGTTCCCCCAGCTCCTAGCTAATGACCTCTCAGATGATTCCCCCATCCATCTATTTAGCTGATCTGCACCTAGTAGGTTTACGTGTTGTCTCCTCCATTAGAATATGAGCTTCTTGAAGGCAGAGACTGTTGTGGCCCTCCATTGTACACCCCAGTGCTTAGCACAGGCACTTAATAAATGTTTGTTGACTGACTGACAAAATATTTTGTAAACCATTAAGAAGTGCTGATGTTGTTATTATTGTGCTAGGGATGAGCCTTGTGGTTCTGTCTATTTTAGTGCAGCCTGCTGTAAGGAATGATGCCCGTGCATGCCTTGGTTTTGATGAAAGAGCAAGCCTGGCAGTGCCCTAAGGCCAGACCACAAACAGTAAGAAGCAGCTAGGTATAGTGGAAAGAACATTATTCTCAGTCAAGATCTCAGCCCTGAGACTTGGTTTGGCACAAATCAAGATAAGAGCGTTGGACCTTGGAGTCCACAACCAGCCTCTAATAAGGACCAGCTGTGAGACTCTAGGCAAGTCTCTTAATCTCTGCCCGAGTCATTCTCCTCATCTGTAAAACGAGGATGATAATAGCACCTGCCTCCCGGGTTGCTGTGAGGATGAGATGATATTTGTAAAGCACTTTGCAATGTAAAAGCATTATAAAAATGCTAGCTGTGTGACCTTGGACAAGTCACTTAACATCTGTGGATCTCACTCTGTAAAATGAGAAAGTCAAACTATGAATGACCTTTATGGTCCCTTCTAATTCTAAGTCCTATGACTTTATTGTAGCAGGGGGAAACCCTCTTCCCCAATCGGCTGAATCAGAGCCCGAGTCTATTATCCCCATGGACCCAGAGTGCACATGCCCACCATGCAAAGAGCCCCAGGCTGATAGAGCAGGGGGTTCCCCTGATCACCCTGTGTACCCTTAGATGAGACCATCTTCCAGTAAGGAGGCCCAGTCTGTGGCCTTCCCAAGAAAGACGGACAGGTAAGGTGTGTGGGGAGGGAGGGGGCTTTGTTGATTTGTCCTCCATGAACACAAAGCTGACCTCCATAATCAGCAAGCTTTTGCTGAGGACTTACATGTATGCTGGACACTAATTTGCCACGTTCAAGATGCTGAAAATTGGTAAAACAAAATGAAGTGAATGGCTTTGGGTACCCTGTTATAACTGTCTCTGAACAGAATACCAAGATCTGTCCTACTTGAGCTGCTGGAAGTTTCCTAACTTGAAACTCCAAGGCATCAGTACGAGGGAGGAGAAACCACACAACCTTATAGTTGAGATCACCCCATTTTACAGATTGGAAAATTGGTGCTCTGAGGGAAGTGACTTGCCCAAGGTAAAGTCAGTGGCAAGGCTTGGAAAGTAATCCAGCTCTTCCTAGTGTCCATCAAGGCAAAGGTCATGCGCCATCTTAGACAAGAAGCCTTTCCTGTTCTCATTAATCTTCAGCAAGTTATCATGTATACACTTACCCGTTTACATGTTGTATCCTTCTCCCTCCATTAAAATGTAAGCTCCTTGAAGGAAGGGACTGTTTTTCCATTTTGTCTTTCTATGCGCAGCACCTAGCACAATACCTTCCATATAGTAGGTACTTAATAAGTGGATGTTAAAAGACAGTTCCAAAGGACTTATGATGAAAAATGCTATCCACCTCCAGAGAAAGAATCTGAATACAAATTGAAGGAAGCATACTTTTTTTTTACTTTTTTTCTGGGTTTTGGGTTGGGTTTTTTTAGGGGGGTTCTATATTCTCTTTTGCAAAATGGTTAATATGGAAATATGTGTTGTGTAATTATACATGTATTATCTATATCAAAGTGCTTGCCTTCTCAAGGAGGGGGAAGGGAGGAGAAGGAAGGAGGGAATTTGGAACTCAAAAATTATTTTTTAAAAAAATGTTAAGAGAGCAGCTAGGTGGCTCAGTGGATAGACCACAAGTCCTGGACTCCTCCTGACTTCAGGGCTGGTGCTCTAACCACTGTGCCACCTAGCTACTCCCCAAATAAAAACATTCTTTAAAAAATAAGTGCTTCTTGGGTCACTTTGGATCCTGACTCTCAGTCTCTTTCCTCAACATGACTGTGCCCCTACCTCTACAGCTAGGAAAAGATGGGAAGCTTGGACACAAGGACTCTGTACCCCTCTGAGTGGGTGAAAGGAGTTCTATTCTTTTCTGGACATCAGTTGTGCCAGGGAATGCAGGGCCTGCCCCAGGAAGGTTATGAGAAAACAGAAGCTCTCCCTGTTCCCACTGGTTAGAAGGGAGACTCGGCAGCTCCCCCAGAGAGCTGGAAACCTGGAAAGCTCCCAGGGGAGCAATAGCAGCTCACCTTACCTAGAGAGCTGGGAGACTGGAACTGCAGGACTGGACTCCACTCACTCCATTGGCTCCTGTAGCTGAAAATGTCTTCCTCATCGCCCAGGGGTTCACCTACTTCCTGGGAGCCCAGGCGACAGCGCAGCCGGGCCTCATAGGTCAAGCCAGGGCCAAACTCGAAGGCTTCGATGGTGGCTGAGGTCACCCCCACAATGTGATCTTTATGTTTTGCCCGCTGTGGGGAATTCATACACATGTCAGTGGGCAGGCCTGAAGCCCAAGGCAGAGAGCCTGGATCTTGGGCCTCCACAGGGCCCCATAACCCCCATAGGCCCACTCTGTATGGATGTGAGTATCTCTCAGACCATTCCTGCCTTATAGCAATCATAGTCTTGGCCTCCTGCACCTTTGTATCAGGATGTCTGTCTTAGGTCAGCAGCCTTTAGACAGTAGCGGGGGGGTCTATGCCCACTTCTCTGGGTCGGGTACCATGCAATTTGGGTGCTAAAGAAAGACTTAGGGGAAAGGGAAAGGGGGAATGGGGATGCTGATATTAGGCTTGGTCTAGCAGGCTAGAGAGGCTAAGAAAGACTTATGTCAGAGACACCCCCACCCAAAAGGCTTCCCAAGCTGGGGAAATTGGGGGATGCTGACACGTCTAGGTCAGCATCCTTACCTCCCAGGCTTCCCCGGGCTGCCTCAAGGCCAGTTCGTAGCTGAGGGACCTGTACAGCTCTTCGATTGGAGGGTTCCAGGAAATGAAGCAGCCTCTAGAGCTGACACTGCTCTGCAGGTTGGAGGGAGGATCGAGCTTGACTGGAACAGAAAGAACCCAGCTGAATCTGGGCCTGGGATCTGAAGGCTGCCCGTGCTGCTTCTGACTGGTTGGTTGGGATGGGGAAACTGAGCAGGGGTAGGTAGGCCCTTTTCAGATCAGGAGTACTCTTCTGCCCAGACCCACCTTCCAAAAGCCCTGCAGTGACAGAGGGTGCCAAGTAGGAGAACGGGTTCAAAGAGAAGGCGAGTAGAGAAGGAACTGAGCAAGAAAGTGCTAGTCAGGGCAGGTTCCCTGAGAGAATCCTAGAGTCCTGGGGCTGGGAGGACCCAAGAGAGGTCGTCTCTTCCATCTATCTACCTTCAGGTAAGGCTAGAGAACTTGCTTCCCCCTTTCCTTAAGAATCTGCACAAAGGAGGCTCTAAGGCTTCCATTGGTGATGTGATCCCTTCATTGTAGGAAGTTTTTGATTTTCCTGTGTCTAACTGAAGTGCTTCCTGTTGCCAATCATACTGATTCTCTCTTGTCTGATCTTCCGTGGACACCGAGAATAGTGGCTCCTGGTCATCCAGCCAGGTCACTTCCATAATGGAAGGGTCCTAGAAGAGGGTCATGCTCCCTCATTCCACTGACAAGTTGCTAATCACTCCCCACCATTCCCAAGGTACGTATAACTGTGTGTGCTCTAGGCTCCAGGGCTTTCCTCCAAAACTCGACCTCCAGTCTGATTCTGAACAGATACCCCAGACTTGATCCTAACTCTAAGTCTTTCTTTGAAAAATGAAGCAGGACAGGTAGAGGCCTTGGGGGATAAGAAAGCCCCATGGTGTCTCCCTAAACTCAGAGGATGTGAACATAAAACATCAAGGCTAAGAGGCTGTATGTGGCTCCTGCAAGGAGCATAGGTAGTGGATACAAGCCCATCTTCCTTGGACCTCGCCACCCCCCTGACACGTCTGACATATCAGTGCTTTATGTTTCTTTGGGACTGGATTTGGTTTTTTGTTTGTTTGAGAACAGGTCTTCTTATCTCAGCCAAGTTGTAAACACAGTTGCTACTTATGGCCTGATCCCAGAGCTGATAATTATGGAAGCTTTAACCTGCTCCATTTTTCCATCTTGGGCTGGTTCATATTTCCTCATACAACCTGGCCATCCACTTCTAAGGATTTACCTTTATTTTTTTTTTTTGGCTAGGCAATGGGGTTAAGTGACTTGCCCAGGGTCACACAGATAAAAGTGTTATGTGTCTGAGGCCTATTTTGAACTCAGGTCCTCCTGATTCCAGGGCCAGTGCTCTATGCACTGTGCCATCTAGCTGTCCCTGGGATTTACCTTTTTAATGTTAGACTTGGTGTCAACACCCAATCAGCTTTAGCCCTACCCTCAGAACTCCCAAACTCGGGCAATCCACATTCTCAGCCTCCCCCAGTAATGGAGATTATAGGCATGTGCTACCACACTCAGCAACTAATACGTCACTGTTCCTGAAGGCTAGAAAATTTCCTTGCCTGTAATACCCAATACTCCTACTCCTATCCCTCTGATCCTGGGATAAGATAGCACTCACTGTTCTGCCTGGGCAAATAGTTGGGGTCCAACAGATACACCAGGTCCACTCCAGATATGCTGCTGTGGAAATTTATGGTGAACTCATCAAATACTGTCAGTATTTTGTTTGGTGGGAGTTCTAGCGTGCAGGTGTCCATCTGGAGGATGCAGCTGTAGTTTTCATGTGGTTCCAAGTTGCTACAAAGCACAAGCATGGAGGGAGTGGGCTAGTTAGATGTAAGAGGGATACTCCCTTAACAGAATACAGATGCCCCTGGATTCTTCATCCTTGATTCTAGGATGTAGGCCTTTCCCTTATAACCCCCTCCTCTCCACCTCCACCAAACCTATGAATCCTCAAGGTCTACTTCTTCCAGAAAAGGTTCCCTGATACTCCAGCCTATGCTGATCTCCAACTCTGACCTTTAATTAAAAGGGATATAAAAAACAAATGAGACATGGTCCCTGCCCTCAAGAAGTTTAAAGTCTTAAAGAAGAAGGGAATGTGACATAGACTTGAAGAACCATGATACAAGTTACCATACAATAAGGGTCATAAAAGAGAGACAAGAAAAGGTGCTGTGAGAATGCAGGAGATGGAGAGATCAATGAATTTGATTCAGAAGGGTGCTTAGATGCAATCCAGTACAATTCCATCTTGCAAATGAGAAAATTGAAGCCTAGAAGAAGTGACCTGTCCAAGGTCATGCAGGAGGAAGTAGAACATTTGATTCCACTCCACTGCCTGCAGAACGTAGCGTTAGAGTTGGGTTTTACATGCATACATACATACATACATACATACATATACATATATATATATATATGAAGCAGGACAGGTAGAGGCCCTGGGGGATAAGAAAGCCCCATGGCGTCTCCCTAAACTCAGAGGATGTGAACATAAAACATCAAGGCTAAGAGGCTGTATGTGGCTCCTGCAAGGAGCATAGGCAGTGGATACAAGCCCATCTTCCTTGGACCTCGCCACCCCCCTGACACGTCTGACACAAATAGACACATTTGTCTTTCCCAGAAATCATGACCTAGCGCTAAGCATATAGTAGGTGCTCAGTAAAGACTTGCTGACTGCCTGACTGATAACATTCACTAACCACCCTCACTGGCCAAGTTAGGAGCTGTCCTTAATGGCCCTGGATCCGTATTAGGATCCTAGGAGGGAGAGAGTATCCTCCCCTTCCAAACTCTCCCTAAAACTTGTGCCCAGGCCAATAAGTCAATATTCCCCAAAATCCAGGCTAGAATTCTGCCCCTTCTATGGGCCTGGCTAGGCCTTACCTGGTGAAGAGGAGCTGGTGGACTCTGTCTCGTCTTGGCAGGGTGGTAGTCCAACTACAATGGATTGTAGTTATGTAATTATTGAGGCAGGTCAAGGCTCCAGGTTGCTGAGCTGCAGTAGAGAAGGAGAAGGGAGGGTGCTTGGTCTTTACCTGGTGTCTTATTCTCCCTGACACTCCTACATTGGCTTCCAGGGGTAGGAGAGGGCCCTATTTGCTTGAGATTCAGTTCGGAGATTGGAGCCCTAGGGAGCTATATGGTGGGGAAGAAATTCCTCCCTCCACCCTCAAAGCCTGAAGAGTACCCAGGCAACCAAGGGCTCTATCCAGTTAGAGCCAGACCATGAAGGAAGGATTCTGGAAGATGTCACAGTTTCCTATGGAATGGGGGATGAGATAAAAGGAAGATGGGAGGAAGGGCTCTAAGGGGTGATCTTTAGCTTCCAGAGGCAGCAGCATCTGAGTGCAAATTGGATCTTCTCACCCTCACCCTCCCACCCCCACCCCCGCTCCTCACCTCCTCTTTCTCCTCCACTGAGGGACACCACACAGAACCAGGTGAAAAGCTGTACACTGCAGGCTCTCTTCCCAGAAATGCCCATGGAACATGGCCCTGAAACAGAAACAACTATTTCAACTCAAAGAACATTTATTAGGTGTTTCCTTTAGTGCAAGGAACTGTCCTGGGTTCTGAAGGCTATTAAGATGAAAAAGGAAACAACCATTGCCCTCAGAAGCTTACAATCCAATAGGAGGAATAAATGTACACGGGAAAAGGTAATGAAAGATAGAAGGTGATGGGACAAAGGATATAGCTGAACAAACTGCCCTGGGAAAATTTAAGTAGAGAAGAGATATGTTGAGCTGGGAGGATGAAGGAAGGCTTCGTGGAGGAGTTGGCTCCTGAGCTGAGTCTTGGAGGAAGAGAAGGATTAAAATTGGCAGAAATGAGGAGAATGTGGTATGTCTGAGGGTCAGCCTATAGTAGCACGTGACTAAGAAACAGCTAGTAGTCCAGCTCGACTAGAGGTAGGCAAGGGAGGAAGAGGAGGTAAAGAAGAGATTGGAGAAGGGAGACATTGATGGCAGGGAGATCATCTGGGAGATGGTTATAGTAATCCAGGGGAGAGATGATGAAGACTGGGATTAGTGTAGTGGCAACGTGAGGGGAGAGGAGCAGACTGTTGTTGTTGCTGTTGTTGTTTGTCCTTCCATCTTGAAGAGGACCAATGACATCAGGGGGAGGATGTCTTGACTTGCAAGTGAATTGGATTTAAGTGAGGCAGAACAGTGCAAAGTCATCAACCTCACTCTCTCCTCCAGAGTCATCGAGGTCCAGTGACAAGACATAGGTCAGGACGGCTGGTGATGGCCCTGAGAGGAGCAGACATATACAAGGAGGTAAAATGGGTAGAGCAGAGAGGAACATTAGAGATCATCTTCTTTGAGCCCCTTGTATGCATGCAATTAGATTGTAGAGAGGGAGGACGGGAATAGGAGTATCAAATGTGCCTGAGGTTTTGACCCTAGGTGACTGGAAGGATGGAAGTGCTATCAACACATAGAGGAAAGTAGGAGGAAGCTGCCAGTCCATCTTTCACACAGCTGCCAAAATAGTCTTCCTAAAGTACAGCTCTAATCATGTTTCAGGCCCCCCGTCAAAAAACTTCCTTGGCTCCTTACACCTCTAGGGTCAATGAAAACTCTTCACTCATCTTGGCATTCAAGTCCCTTTACAATCTGGCCCCAACTTTCCATTCCAGCCTCTCCTCACACCACTCCCTTTCATGCCCTTCATGTTCTAGTCAAAATGGACTCCTAGGCAACCAACCCCCAAGTTTTCCCACATGGTACCCCACCTCATGTCAGGGAACAGCAGAGAGGCAGAATGGTGCAGTAGGACACACACCAGAAAAAGAATCAGCAGTTGTAGGGTAGAATTCCAACTTTGCTGCTTGACTGCTGTCGAGCCTGGGAGGTACCATTTCTCCATCTTTCTAAACCTCAATTTCCCCATCTACAAAATAGGGATGATAATCTCTACTCTGTCTACCTCACAGGATGTATTATATGAATTAGATGAGATAATATATGTAAAAATGCATTGTAGGCAGCACAACACTACATAAATGTGAGCTACCATCATTACCATGATTAGATTTCTGAAGGACGGATTGTTAGCCATCCTGCACCCACTGAAATTCATCAGCAAGTTCTCTTCTTCCATCTCCTTCCCAGTGATGGAGAAGATAGCTGCTTTCCCTCCCAGTCTAATTCTCCAATTCAATTACAGGTCTTCCTTCCACATGACAACTTTCCCATCAAGGTTTCAATATGTAGCAGGTTGGCATAAGAAATTAAATGGGAATTTGGGGGGAGTTTTGTGGAAGTGGCAGACAACACCCAAAGGCTGGCAGATGACACAGAGCTTATGACCAAATACTCAACCCAAATTTTACAATAAGGTACTGTGAACATCCCATAAAAGAAAAATAAAAAATTCAGACTTCTCTGGTATGAAGGGAGGGCCAAAAACAATTCAGTTGGATTTTCCAGATTGAAGGCACCACACCCCTCCCCTCCTCAATGTGTAAGCAACAAAACTGATCAAACACGGACTGTGCTGAGTGCTAGGCAAAAGAGCAACAGTCCCTAGTGTCACAGAGCTTACATCATGCAGGAAGGGACCTTAGGGATCATCTAATCCAGGCCTGCACAACATACAACCTGCAGTCTACTTGAGGCCCGCTAAAGGATTTCAGGCGACTCTGAAAAGTGTAGAGTTACCACTGTGTACTCTCTCCTGTTTGTCACGTGACCCGCAGCAACCCACCATCATCAGTCTGTTTCTAGTCTAACCTATCTTCAGCCTGAAGAAGTTTAGCCTATTTAATTTTGGCCCCTACCTACTTCCAAGTTGTATAGGTCTGATCTAATCCAACCCCTTTATTTTGTATATAGGGGAAACTGAGGCCCCAGGAAAGGACTCAACTTGCCAAGTTTACAACAGAACCAGGACCAGAACCCAAATCTACTGATTCTCAAGCTATGGCACTTCCTACTGTATTGTACTTCTCCCCTATTCATTCCCACAATGGGGGACATCCCCATTTCTGAAGCAGTAGCTGTTGCAGAAACACCCCACCACCAACACACACACACACACACACACACACACACACACATCAACCGTGATTAGTGATTTTGTGTGTGTAGAGGGGCTGGAATTATAGCACATGGTTTATCAGACCTGGAAGAGATCTTAGTACATAGGGCACAGACTATTGAGTATAGAAGCATTGAAATATTTAATGTTCCAAAGAGCAGAAAGGGATGTTAGAGACCATCTAATCTAATTCTCTTACTCTATAGAAAAAGAAATTGAGGTTTAGCTTCCTCTTGTCTCATCCAAGGTGTTGCACTGTAATTGCCTGGCAAAACCAAGACAAACTAAGGTCTTCAGGTCATATTTCACTGTTCATTCTTGCACGGGGGAGATCTCATTTCTGTCTGGTTTTTAGAAGAAAAGGTAGAGGAAGTCATGAAGGAAAGGCTTCTAGTCAGTATCATTGAGCTACCCTATGCTTCAACGTAAACTCAGAGGACTTCTGGAGTGCTAGGAATCCTGGCTAATCTCTCAACATACATCCAGGTTAGGGGAACCCAGGAGGTGCTCCTCAGAAAGGGTGGCTGGGGTGGGGGACTGGTTCAGGAAGTACTCAAGGGGATAGGGTTAGCGGGGGAGAGGATTCGACAGCTGCTATCAGCTCATCAGTCAGTTCAAGATGTTACTATGATAGCCCTAGGGTGCTACTGTACTTATTTGCCTGTTATATAAGTTTGATGCTGCTCAGTGATAAGGGGCGTGTGGGTGACAGAAAAACAAACACCAAGAGGCAGATTCACCAAGCCCCGAGATGCAGGACCTATGACACAGTCCCAGGCACCTATACAGTTTGTTTCTGTCCTTACAAGCAGAGAAGTCAATTTGCCTCTTTCTCAGTTTCTTTCTTTGTAAAACAAAGGGGTCAGAAGAGATGATCTCTAACATTCCTTCTAGCTCTAACATTCAATGCTCTGCATTTCATCCCAACTCTGACACTGTGACTAATTAATAGACTTAGTCTAAAGATAGCATACTCATCAATCAATCAATCCAATAAGCTTTTATTAAATTCTTAGCATGGGCAAGATGTGCTAAACATTGAAGATGCAAAGGCAAAAATGAATTAGTCCTAGCCTTCAAGGACCTTACACTCCACTGGAAAAAAACAAGACATCCCCTGATAAGCAAATAAAACATAACTGTTTCAGGGGGTGAACTAACAACTAGGAAAACCAAGAAAAGCCTATTGTACAGGGTAGCACTGGAGCTGAGCCTTAAAGGCAGCTAGGGATTCCAAGAGGCAGAGGTAAGGAGCTCAGCCTAGGCTTGAGGGACAGCCTATACAAAGGTGTAGAGATGAAAGGTGTAATGTCCAGTGTGAGGAACAATAAGAATACCATTTGGATGAAACACAGAGTAACTGGAGAGAATATTGTGAAATCACATTACTGGAAAGATGGAAGGAGTCAATCAGCATTCATTAAACACCTAATATGGGCCAGGCAGATTGTGAAAAGGCATTAAATGTCAAACAGATGAGTTTATATTTGACCTTGGAAGCAATAGAAGGCCCCTGAAGCATTTTGAGCAGGAGAGTGCCATGATTCGACCTGCCTGTGCTTTAGGAATCATAACTTGGCAGCTGTGTGAAGGACGGATTGGAGAAGGTGCAGGGATATCCATTAAGAAGATATTGTGGGGCACCTAAGTGGTACAGTAGATAGAGCACTGGCCCTGGAGTCAGTTGGACCTGGGTTCCACTCTGACCTCAGGCAATTGCTACCTGTGTGACCCTGGGCAAGTCACTTAACCCCAATTGCCTCCAAAAAAAAAAAAGGCTATTGTAAGAGTCCAAGTGAGAGGTGATGAGAGCTGGGTTTGAGGGTTTGGCTATGTGGCAGGTGGGAAAGGTTGATTTCTGAGTTGGTATGAGGGCTGGGTGACTGAAGGTGGGTGAGCAAGACAGGGTGGGAAGGGAAAGTAAACCGCTATGCTGTTGAGTAAAGGGAGGAAGAATAGAAGTGAGGGCCACTTAGGTCCATGTGTCACTCAGCATGAATAGCTAGTGGAATGGGGAGAGGAAAAAAGGGAAAGAAATTATTATAGTAACTGAGTGGGGACCAACAAAAAAATTAGGGAAGATTGGCAGCTTCTGAAAATCTCTCAGTAAAACTGCATTAGACCTAAGACAGAGATGCTAACTAATTGTAACGAACAATCCTGGCTCCAGAAGAGAGATGACAAAGGACCTCCTTCCTCTCAGTAGAAAATTGGAGGCATTATGGGTGTAGAAGATTGCTGCACTGTCAGATGAGGTCACTAGGTCAGGTAGTTTTGCAGAACTATTTTCCTTTGTTACAAGAGAGGTATTATTTGTTGTTTTGTTCTGAGTTGGGTTTTTTTTGGAGGGTGGGGCAGGGGGAGAAGGAGAATCTAGAAATGACTGTGGAATACAAACAAAAAAGCTTCATTAAGCTCAAAATAAAAATACAATTTAAAAAATGATA